CAGCCCTGCTCTAGCGGGAAGTGCACAACTTTAGAGTACTGAAGGAAAAGACATTCCAGAGCAAAAACATGGAATTAAATCAGGAGTTCTCAATAATATCCAAAAATTTCATGTCGAGAAACTTAGTTTTCAGTGTCCACTACTGTGGTTGTTTTTGTGGCCTATTCTTAATGTTTACTCAGAAGCTGGGTCTGGCAGGGCAGGGTTGGGGGGAACATGTGCCCCTGATGAGCAGTCTGTAGTAACTGAATATTTTAGTAACACAGTACCGTTATGGCAGAAAGTGAAGAGGAACTAAAAAGCCTTTTGATGAAAGTGAAAGGAGCATGAAAAAGTCGGCTTAAAGCTCAACATTCGGAAAACTACGATCATGGCATCTGGTCCCATCACTTCATGGGAAATAGATGGGGAAACAGTGGAAGCAGTGTCAGACTTTATTTTTTGGGGCCTCAAAATCACTGCAGATGGTGATTGTAGCCATGAAATTATAAAAGACGCTTACTCCCTGGAAGGAAAGTTATGACCAACCTAGATAGCATATTAAAAAGCAGAGACATTACTTTGCCAACAAAGGTCTGTCTGGTCAAGGTTATGGTTTTTCCAGTGGTCATGTATGGATGTGAGAGTTGGACTGTGAAGAAAGCTGAGCACTGGAAAATTGATGCTTTTGAACTGTGGTGTTGGAGAAGACTCTTGAGAGTCCCTTGGACTGCAAGGACATCCAACCAGCCCATCTTAAAGGAGATCAGTCCTGGGTGTTCATTGGAAGGACTGATGCTGAAGCTGAAACTCCAATACTTTGGCCACCTCACGCGAAGAGTTGACTCCTTCCTGAAGCTGGGAGGGATTGGGGGCAGGAGGAGAAGGGGACGACAGAGGATGAGATGGCTGGATGGCGTCGCTGACTCGATGGACATGAGTTTGAGTAAACTCTGGGAGTTGGTGATGGACAGGGAGGCCTGGCGTGCTGTGATTCATGGGGTCGCAGAGAGTTGGACACGACTGAGTGACTGAACTGAACTGAACTGAAAGTGGGCACACAGTTGAGCCTGTGGAGAGGATTATGGGGTGAAGCTCTTCTTTTGACACTTTTTTCATTTACTTTTTCATATTTTAAACGGCACCTGATAACAGATGACTACCCAAACTTTTGAGATGTGGGAATAGGTGAAGTCCTTTTTAAGCTCTTAAAAAGATTTTAACGATAAGATTCTCAAAAGGCCAAATGTGATAAATCTTTTGCCTTGTGTGTAGATTAGTAAATGATGAAAATTGTAATGCTAACCTACACACACACACACCCACCCCAGTGCACATGCGCACACACATACCCACAAGTGATAACCTCATTCACGTGTGTCCATGTGCCTGCTACAGTGCCAGTGACACAGTCCAAGCTGACCATCAATAGGAAGGGCTCCTTGTGAGGGTCCCTGTAGCTACAGTATGAACTGATGGGGTACAGAACCCATTCAACTAAATGTACAGTTTACATTTAATGAGTTAAAAATTTAGTGTAGTGTTAAATTAGGAGCAGCTACTAATATACTGGAAAATTAGAATGTTGAAGGATAAATTGTTGCTGACATTAAAACAATGAGAGTAACTTGCTAAATCAGGTAATAGGAAAATATCTACCACATTTAAACGTTTTAGCACGTTTCTGGGCAAAGACAGAAAACATTACAAAAGAATGTTTTTTGATTCTTCTCTCCAGGATTTGCCATTTATTTACTTATTTATTTATTGGCTGTACTGGGTTTTCACTGCTGTGCGAGCTTTTCTATAGTTGCAGCAAGGGAGCCTACTCTCTAGTTGAGATTCTCGGGCTTCTCACTGTGGTGCCTTCTCTTCAGAGCACTGGCTCTCGGGTGTGTGGCCTTAAGCTCTGCAGCTGCTGGGCTGTAGGGCACAGGCTCAGGAGCTGTGGTGCGTGACCTAGTTGCTATGAGGCCTGTGGGACCTTCCTGGACCAGGGATCAACCCGTTTCTCCTGCACTGGAAGGCGGATTCGTTGCTACTGAGCCACCAGGGAAGCCCCAGTTTTGGCTCTTGATGTGAAGTCCTGTTTTATAATCTGGTGCTCAAAACAAAAATTCTTACTTATTTGGTAGTTCAGAAATTTGAGAAGAAAGTATAGGAAATGTTAGGAAAAAGACTCAGTGACTCATTCTAACATAGTTCCTGTTTTTTGTTTTTTTTTTAATTCCAGAGGTAAATATTTATTATGCTCTCAAGCATATTATTATTATATTATAATTATATTGTATTACATAACAGTTCTATCCACCATGCCCTGATGATATTTCCCTCAATTATCAAGATAGCACAAAAACACAAATTAATAGAACATTCTGAAAAATAAGACATTAAAAGGGGAATAAAGGCATAGGACCAGTTTCTTTTTTTTTGATGTGTGTTGAAAAGAGGATTTTATTTTATTGTATTTATTTTTTAATTAATATATTTTAATTGGAGGATAATTACTTTATAGTGTTGTGATGGTTTTTGCCATACAATCACATGAGTCACAGGTATACATGTGTTCCCCCCCACCCCGCCATCCTGAACCCATCTCCTTCCCTACCCTATCCCTCTGGGTTGTCCCAGAGTACCAGTTTTGGGTGCCCTGCTTCATGCATCAGACTTGCACTAGCCAACTGTTTTACATATGGCAATACGTGTGTTTCAATGCTATCCTCTCAAGTCATCCTATCCTCGCTTTCTCCTGCTGAGTTCAAAAGTCTGTTCTTTACATCTGTGTCTCCTTTGCTGCCCTGAATATATGATCATCAGTACCATCTTTCTAAATTCCACATATATATGTTAATATACATTATTTGTCTTTTTCTTTCTGACTGACTTCAGTCTGTATAATTGGCTCTAGGTTCATCCACCTCATTAGAACTGACTCAAATGCATTCCTTTTTATAGTTGAGTAATATTCCATTGTGTATATGTATCACAGCTTCCTTATCCATTTATCTGCTGATGGACATCTAGGTTGCTTACATGTCCTAGCTATTGTACAGTGCTGCAGTGAACATTGGGGTACATGTGTCTCTTTCAATTCTGGTTTCCTCAGGTGTATGCCCAGCAGTGGGATTGGTGGGTCATATGGTAGTTCTATTTCCAGTTTTTCTAAGGAATCTCCACACTGTTCTCCATAGTGTCTGTACCAGTTTGCCTTCTACCCAACAGTGTAAGAGGGCTCCCTTTTCTCCACACCCTCTCTAGCATTTATTGTTTGTAGACTTTTTGATGATGGCCATTCTGACCAGCATGAGGTGATACCTCATTGTGGTTTTGATTTGCATTTCTCTAATAACGAGTGATATCGAGCATCTTTTCATGTGTTTATTAGCCATCTGTCTGTCTTCTTTAGAGAAATATTTGTTTTGGTCTTTTGACCACTTTTTGATTGGGTTGTTCATTTTTCTGGTATTGAGCTGCATGAGCTACTTGTATATTTTGGAGATTAATTCTTTCTCAGTTGTTTTGTTTGCTATTATTTTCTCCCATTCTGAGAGTTGTCATTGCACCTTACTCATAGTTACCTTTGTTGTGTAAAAGCTTTTAAATTTAATTAGGTCCCATTTGTTTATTTTTGTTTTTATTTCCATCACACTGGGAGGTGGATCATGGAGGATCTTGCTGTGGTTTATGTCCGAGAGTGTCCTGCCTGTTTTCCTCTAAGAGGTTTATAGTTTCTGGTCTTAGGTTTAGGTCTTTAATTCATTTTGAGTTTATTTTTTGTGTGTGGTTTTATGAAGTGTTCTAGTTTCATTCTTTTATATGTAGTTGACTGGTTTTCCCAGCCCCACGTTTTGAAGAGACTCTTTTCTCCATTGTATATTTTTGCCTTCTTTGTCAAAGATAAGGTGTCCATAGGTGCATGGATTTATCTCTGGATTTCCTATTTTGTTCCAGTGATCTAAATTTCTGTCCTTGTGCCAGAACCATACTATCCTGATGACTGTAGCTGTGTAGTATAGCCTAAAGTCAGGAAGATTGATTCCACCAGTTCCATTCCTCTTTCTCAATATTGCTTTGGCTATTTGGGGTCTTTTGTATTTCCATAAAAATTCTGAAATTATTTGTTCTAGTTCTGTGAAAAATACTATTGGTAGTTTGATAGGGATTGCATTGAATCTATAGATTGCTTTAGGTAGTATATTAATTTTTACTATATTGATTCTTCCAATTGAAGAACATGGTATATTTCTACATCTGTTTGTGTCATCTTTGATTTCTTTCATTAGTGTTTTATTCTGTATACTTGATCTTTTTTTTCTTTAGGTAAATTTATTCCTGAGTATTTTATTCTTTTCATTGCAATAGTGAATGGGATTGTTTCCTTAATTTCTCTTTCTGAGTTTTCATTGTTAGTATATAAGAATGCAAGTGATTTCTGTGTATTAATTTTATTAGCAATTTCAAACTTGCCTCTGGAAAATATTTCTTTGGAATTATATGGGAAAACTCAATTTTTCATCTTTATCCTTAGAGACTTCTTTGGTCAATTAAGTGGGTTAGATCTGAAGAGGCAGTTTTAAAGAAAATTTGAGTTTTAACACATAGTAAATTACTCTTATACCCCACATTAAAATTCAGAATCAAAAGATTACTTTTTTCCCAGTAGGTGTTAAAGGAGTAGTGGCATTCATGTTTATGTTATTAGTTCAGTTTTTGAGACTGACAAACGTGTGGCACATTTCTTTTAGTTTATTGAAGGAAGATTGAAATGTTTGTACTGGGTTTGGTGGATTCTTTGAGATAGTGTCTGGCTTAGAATTGGTTTAATCTCTTCTTTGGGTATATGGCTTGCTTACTTTGCATTTTGTATCAAGAAAGAAGTTTAAGATACAGATATTATGTCTGCAAAGTTATTCCAATGAATATAATCATATGGGAGTAGAATAATAGGCATGGTATAAATATGGACTTGAATAAACAATTCTCCAGAGTTAATTGCATTTCTCTTAATTTTTTGTTTTCAGACAAATCCTACTGAGATTTTAGAGTATTCATCAGATAGTGAAGAAGATGATGGCTCTGAGAACATCTTGCTCATTGATTCAGAATCCTCTCACAAACATCACGTGGATTTTGGATCAGATGGAAGACAGGTTACAGAGAGACGAAAAAACCTGAGGGTAGAATCTACAGAAACCATTTTGCAGACACCCAAGAAACAGATGAAACTTCCCAAGACTCCAGAAAGTTCAGCAAAGAGGAAGAAGCTTTTAAGGTTAAATACTTTATAAAAGTTTTTTTTTTCTTTTTCTTAAAAAATCCAAATACCTAAAATGTTAATTTTAAAATGTCTGTTTATATGGGAAGGAAGATTTATAGCATAGAATTGTAATTCTGATGAGCAGTTATAGATTTATAGTTATAATTTATAGTTATAATTTCTGGAGATGATTTATGGATTTGTTCATCTAAGTTGAGCATCCACTGTTCAGTCATAACATAACTGTTTCAGTTCAGCTTATGTAACTGTTTTCCATAATGGAGATTGGTTGTTCGGGTTTATCAAATTTTATTTAGTAACCGTGTTCCAAGTGTTATCTTAGACAGTTAATACAAGTAAATGACTGTTCTTATTTTTGAGTGAGTTATGTCTAAAGAGGGAAGTAGAAATCAAGAGTATTGAGATTGCTTTTGTGATGGTAGTTGGCGAGAGCAAGGATTCACAGGTCTGAAACTGGCTGGTGTGTGTGAAGAACCATAGAACCTAAGCTACAGAGGGCCAGCAGGATGTGTGCAGGAGTGCAGTAGAGTGTTTGATCAGGCTTGATTGGGATCCAGTGTCTAAAAGAGATCCCAGAGAAAAAAGTGAGATGAGTTAGAGAATATTAGAGAAGACCCAGTGGAGACTGAGAGGTTAAGAATAATCACTGTCCATGTCCAGGGATGGAAATGGGAGAAGGAGACCTGTTTTGAATAAAGGAGCAGGGGGGAGACTAGAAGGATGTGACCAATTCAGTGGGATGGATATAGTCTGGTGAGTCTATCGATGCTGTTCACTGTTGTTGTTGTTTTTTTTTTTTTGACATTAAGTAAGACAGAATGCCTCATGCCCAGAGTGAAGAAGTTTTTAAATACCCTTAAATGAGAATAATGTCGTAGTCTCTTGAGAAAACAGGAAAGGAATCTAAAGGGATTCGAATATCCTTTGCTCGTGACTGAAGCAACTCTAGCAATATGCAAATAGTTGATTTCTTCTTGTGATTTCTAAGTGATAACTGAGAGATATCTGTTTTGTGGTTATTCTTTCAGAGTTACTGTGTTGAAATACTAAGAGTGCGGTTGGTGTGATTAGGGCTGTCTGTCTTGGGCATCAGACTGGAAGACTTTCTGTTGGCACTAGGAGGAGCTTTACTGAACTTCCTGAAGGCCTATGGTTGCTGCCTGGAGCAGGTTTGCTCACCTGCTTGGAAGGAGGGGAAAGGTCACATGTTTCAGCTCATAGGCTGTTCTGTTTATAGCATCATGTTTTCAGTTGAGAAAATCTCTTAACTGGTTGTCTAGTAATGATGAAAGAAAGACTTGTTTAAGTGAACTTTTATGAAAACGCTGTGGATACAGATGTCTTGATAATCCTCACAGGAAAGGGTCACCAGCCGTTGTTACAGAAGTTCAGCCGGGGGTGGGGTGGGGTGGGGGACAGTCTGTGGAAAATGAAACTGCTATGAGGAAAAAGGCGGGTGTAAGTTACAGGTTTCCATTATGTAGCACGAATAAAATATTTATAAATGCGATTAAAAGGATTTTTCCTTTTTTTTTTTTAGCCTCATAAGGACTAGCTAGCAAGGATCAAGTTAAGTAGTTGGCATTTCAGGTCTGGAGCACATTGGCCCTCTCTCCTTGTGATTTGTCCAACAGGGACATATTCAGTCTCTTTGACCTTAATTCAGCCTCTTGGGGCCTTCTTCCTCATTTGTTTATTTTTTAAAAATTATTTATTTATTTATGGTTGTACTGGGTCCTTGTTGCTTTACGTGGACTTTCTCTAGTTGCATGGAGTGCGGGCTGCTCTTCGTTGTGGTGCACAGGCTTCTTGTTGCAGTGGCTTCTCTTGTTGTGGAGCACGGGCTCTAGGAGCACTGTCATCAGTAGTTGCAGCTTGTGGGTGCTAGAGTGTGGGCACAGTAGTTGTGGCGCACAGGTTTAGTTGTTCCTTGGCATATGGAATCTTCCTGGACCAGGGATCGAACCCATGTCCCATATGTTGGGAAGTGGGTTCTTATCCACTGAGCCACAAGGGAAGTCCTATTTTTATTTTTGTTGATTTATGGCACTGTTTGAGGCATAACTAATGAAAGTCAATCTAACATTGCTTTGATATTTTAGTTAGGTTGTAAATAATAAGGCCATATTACCCCAGTCTTACGATCAGGTTTTTTTTTTTTTTTTTTTGCAGTGCTTGCTATATTTGATAGAAAGCAAAACTTGAAAATATTGTATAGTACATTTATTTAAATTATTTTCTCTTTACCTGATTTCTTCACCTGGTAGAGTGTATTAAAAGTATGTAGTGATTCTTTTTCTGGAAATTAGTTGAATGTTTTTGAATCTTTTTCTTTTTCACTTCACATTTTGTAGAAATGTTTAGCCTTGTTGAATTGATGCCAGTAAACTTTTCAGATATGGTACCAATCTATCTATTTTATATAAAAGATAATTGGACTGTCTTAACTTGCTTAGTGAATGTATGAGAGCCTCACCATAGACCCCACCCTGGCTCAGCAACACACAATCAGTGGGGAACTTGTAACTCCCAACTACTCTGTGAGGAGCAGAGGATTTGGATCCAGTATGTAGCCCCTCAACTTTTAAAACTTTAACTGGAAGGACTAGCCCCCCAAACACCTAGCTCTAAAAGCCAAAGGGGCTTGTGTTTATGAGACCCACCAGACTCTCAGTTCAGTTGCTCAGTTGTGTTCGACTCTTTGCAACCCCATGGACTGCAGCACACCAGGCTTTCCTGCCCATCACCAACTCCAGGAGCCTGCTCAAACTCATGTACATCCAGTCGGTCCTGCCACCAGCCTTTAGCAAACAGAGATATAGTTCTTAACAGACTTACCAGGACTCCCTGTGGCTATTCCTCTAGGGCTCAGCCCACAGTGAGCTGACAAAAACATCTCCCATTCTTTCTCCCAAAGAGGCTTATTTGCATATGATAAAAGCTGTTGCCTGAGGATCAGTTCAGTTCAGTTGCTCAGTCATGTCCAACTCTTTGTGACCCCGTGGACTGCAGCAAGCCAGGCTTCCCTGTCCATCACCAGCTCCTGGAACTTGCTCAAGCACATGTCCATCGAGTCAGTGATGCCATCCGACCATCTCATCCTCTGTCATCCCCTTTTCCTCCTGCCTTAGGTCTTTTTCAGCATCAGGGTCTTTTCCAATGGGTCAGTTCTTCACATCAGTTGGCCAAAGTATTGGAGTTTCAGCTTCAGCATCAGTCCTTCCAATGAATGTTCAGGACTGATTTCCTTTAGGATGGACTGGTTGGATCTCCTTGCAGTCCAAGGGACTCTCAAGAGTCTTTCAACACCACAGTTCAAAAGCATCAATTCTTCGGTGCTCAGCTTTCTCTATAGTCCAACTCTCACATCCATACATGACTACTGGAAAAACTATAGCTTTGACTAGACGGACCTTTGTTGGCAAAGTAATGTCTGCCTTTTATTATGCTGTCTACCTATAAGACCTTCTAGAACTAACACCCAAAAAAGATGTCCTTTTCGTCGTAGGGGACTGGAATGCAAAAGTAGGAAGTCAAGAAGTACCTGGAGTAACAGGCAAATTTGGCCTTGGAGTACAAAACGAAGTAGGGCAGAGGCTAGCAGTTTTGCCAAGAGAATGCACTGGTGATAGCAAAAACTCTCTTCCAACAACACAAGAGAAGATGATACACATGGGCATCACCAGATGGTCAATACCAAAATCAGATTGATTATATTCTTTGCTGCCAAAGATGGAGAAACTCTATATGGTCAGCAAAAACAAGACCAGGAGCTAACTGTGGCCCAGATTATGAACTCCTTATTGCCAAAATCAGACTTGAAGAAAGTAAGGAAAACCACTAGACCATGCAGGTATGACCTAAATCAAATCCCTTATGATTATACAGTGGAAGTGACAAATAGATTTAAGGGATTAGATCTGATAGACTGAGTGCCTGAAGAACTATGGACGGAGGTTCATGACGTTGTACAGGAGGCAGTGATCAAGACCATCCCCAAGAAAAAGAAATGCAAAAAGGCAAAATGGTTGTCTGAGGAGGCCTTGCAAATAGCTGAGAAAAGAAGAGAAGTGAAAGGCAAAGGAGAAAAGGAAAGATATATCCATTTGAATGCAGAGTTCCAGAGAATAGTAAGGAGAGTTAAGAAAGCCTTCCTCAGTGAGCAATGCAAAGAAATAGAGGAAAACAATAAAATGGGAAAGACTAGAGATCTCTTCAAGAAAATTGGACATACCAAGGGAACATTTCATGCAAAGATGGGCACCATAAAGGACAGAAATGTTATGGACCTAACAGAAGAGGAAGATATTAAAAGGAGGTGGCAAGAATAAACAGAAGAGCTATACAAAAAAGAGATTTATGACCCAGATAACCACGATGGTGTGATCACTCACCTAGAGCCAGACATTCTGGACTGTGAAGTCAAGTGGGCCTTAGGAAGCATCACTATGGACAAAGCTATTGGAGGTGATGGAATTCCAGTTGAGCTATTTCAGATCCTAAAAGATGATGCTTGAGAATGCTGTACTCAATGTGGCAGCAAATTTGGAAAACTCAGCAGTGGCCACAGGACTGGAAAAAGTCAGTTTTCATTCCAGTCCCAAAAAAAGGCAATGCTCAAAGGCAAAGAATGCTCAAACTACCGCACAATTGCCTGAGGATCAGGTTCTAATTTATCACACATCTAGGCTGCTGACTGCCATTCTCCTTGGGGACCTGGGAGGCCAGCAGGTGCTGTCTTCTCACTCTCTACATTGCTGTGGATTGATGATGTCTCCTAGAAGAGGCTTGTGCACATGTCTGGCATTTCAGCTTTTGTGACTGTCACCCAGAGGACATACCATGATTGCCTGTGTCTGATGGCCGGCAGGACTGGCATTTGTGGATTGAACAGGACAGTAGCAAATAAAGAAGCACTTCTTATCTGGCTATCCCCAAAGGGCTCAACACAGAGGAAGTGCATGGAAATGCCCAGCTCCCAGTATTTCCCTGAC